TCTCGCTCGTGTTAATTGCGCTCGACATACTTGTTGCTCCGCGCGGCTATGCCGAAAGGGCCTCAGGGCGATAAGACAAATTGCGGAGATTGTACGTAACGAAAACACACGATATCTGTCCACGCGTGTCTTCCGTTCGCGTGTACGCGATTGCAAAAGCATCGACAGCGATTGTGAAAGGTCGTCCGATTTATTGCTATATATATATCGCATAAAAGATATCGAAAATGTTTTATATTTATATAGGTAATATTTAGAATGTTTCAGCATTTCTTTTCGGAGAATAAGAACATTGTTGCGCACTTTTGCGCCAAACTTCCTGATAGCTGAGTAATTAATTTGATGATATAAATATATGTTGTCGAACTTATCACAAATAAACCAAATAATAATACATGAGAAAACAGGACCGTTATGATATACAATCAATCAATATTATAAACAAGCCAAATATAATCTAAACTTTTAAAAATTGAAAGGAAAAGGGCCAATGATCGAGCAACAATAGTTGTTAAATAATCAACTTATTAATTTGCATATACAATATATAAATTCGTAAGTTTCGATTTCACCGAATCTTTTTCAGCCGTAACATAATAAAACATTTAGGTTTGGTTGCACCAACGTCGCATAACATTTTATCTTAGCTTAATTCACTCTTCATCTCTTTCTAAAGCCTCGTGTCCACGATGCTAGAAAACGCCCCGAGATCTCGGACGGAGGAAGAGTTGACAAATTACATTTAAACAATTCGGCCAATTGACCAATGTAATTGGTTAATTCTTTCTCCGTCCGAGATCTTGGAGCGATATTTCTAGCATCGTGGCCACAAGACTTAAGAGGACTTAAGAGTTAGAAAGAGAGTGAGTTAAGCTAAAGTTAAATATTATGCGATGTTAATACGACCGATGTTAATATTTCTCAAAGTTTTATTTTGCCTCATTTATCGCTATTCGTTGTAACAGATCATCGGAATAGGCGAGTAAATGCTGTTATTATTATGCAGAGAGAGAGAGAGAGAGAGAGAGAGGTCTTACTACTTCGTAGCAAAAATCCATTTACGGAAATAGATAATAAAATTTGAAGTGGTGTGTCTTTTATTCGGAATTCACGAGTGAAAGTCTCTTGGTTGTATTGAGTTACGCTTCGTAAAGCTCGTTCCATTGCAACACGAGACTTATTTTCTCGGGAAGTCGTAATTTCGGCGAAAAAAAAAGGTGAACGTAGGACGATCGCGGTAGGCGCGGATTCATTCGAATTTTCTCGCGCTTGACCCATTTTTGCTCGACTCCCCGAAGAACGCGCGCACGAGGCATTATTACTTCTCGCTGTGAAAATATCTTATTCAAATGTGCGTCGAATTACAAAAGTTTTCCCCTACGTTCAGCTCCGTTTCATTAAGGACGACACGTGTATTTATGAGAAATACTAAGTAGGGGACCACCCCTAGTGGTAGTCGGGGATTTTTTAAATTGGCATCATATAACAGCCCTGGGTGAAGCCTTATACATACGCTCCCGTATGTATATAGGGCTTAATTATGTTCCATAAGATGTTTACGATATATAATAACCTCTGCTTCAAAGCAGTGTAGCACTGTTCTATGTATCCGGAATTTTTATTTGGACATTATCACAAACCCCGTAATTCTAAATAATATGTGTATTAGAATATATGGTATATCTGAGGAATCCGTCGAATGCGTAACTACTCCGTTATCGTAATAGGATCATCATAAATCATAAACTTCCTCATGGGACACCAGGTATATACGAGAGCTTAAGTTACGTAAAGGGCTTACTCATCAGGCACCAAGGTTATTATATAGGGCAAGATTCTTCAGAATCCCCAATCAGACCAACTTAGGGTGGTTTCCTATTAAGATTTAACGAAAATTATGGAATGTATCATGTATTCGCCATTAAAATTAGCGGCAGATTTATTACTTGGATTAAGACACGTCAAGGAATTGATTATATGCACAACGTGTGACAGAATAAGCGTTATTAAGCGACGGAGAAAATTAATACAAAACCTAAAGTCATTAATTAGCTGTAGGAAACGCTGTAGGGACGCGTATAATATTCCAGAGACGAAATATTAATATTAATATTGCTCCAAAATTCTAATTAAATTGACCTATATATACATAAACGACGGTTTCTGTTATATTTCTGCGATTACAATGTGGCAGCAGATCGATCGTGCTGCTAGAAAATAAGCTTAATGAGGACGCTCTGCTGCGTATTGTTTGGATCTGCTGGAATATTGCCGGTATTCTGCTAGCATTTAGTTATCAGGGTATATAATAATTATTTATACGCGCTTTCACACTATTGCTTTTTCTTTAATTCATCAAGCATGGTCTTAATATCGATTTGGCTATAAATAGTTTATTTTAATGTATAATTAAAAAATGACTAACCTTTGATTCGAATTTTAACGCTGTCGCAACTGCGACACAGACACGCACGATTGTCTATTTTCGTTTCAATGATATTGACTGTTAATAGGCATGATTTGCATAAACCTCGCAATGCCCAAAGTATATCGATGCGTTTGTATTCATCGATCCGAAGAGGAAGTATATTGGCGCAGAGATGAGAATATTACGAAAATCATTTCGCTTTTAATTGTAAATAAATAACTAATAAAGTAATGAACTCTACATTACTTTATTAGTTATTTATTTACAATTAAAAGTGAAATAATAAAAAAAAAATATTTTATGCGTTGTCATATTACTTAATATGACAATGCATGCACACACATCGCGCCGGCAGGAATGCGTCGAATATATCGACTCACGCATACGTATGAAGGTGTAACTTGAAGCGCGGAACCGAGCGCGAGCAGGGAGAACAAAAATTAAACGATTAAACAAAAGTTAAACAATATTATTTCTTCAAATTATTCGCCTCATTTACATATCGAGCTTATACTGATTTTATAAGATTTAAATGTTCTATCGTAAAAAAAGTGAAAGAAAACAACTTTCTTTTCCGCAATCGTCATAAATTGCGCGTCATTCGTTCAGAAGGAAGTGTGATAAAATTAGAATAGAAGTAATTAAAAAACAGAGAAGTAACGGCAGAACGATGCAGCTTCTGCAAAATCGAATTATTTTCAATTCTCGTATAAAGCGTTGCGCTCTCTCTCTCTCTCTCTCTCTCTCTCTCTCTCTCTCTCTCTCTTTTCCCGTGAAACAATGATATTGCGACGGTGATTGCAATAATGAAAGCTAAAAAATGCAATTGTCGAGCGACAGCCTCTCACCGAGAAGCGCGCGCCCACTCGTATCCACGCGACGTATCGTATTTGCAGCCCACCATATACAGGTGTGACAAACGATCAATGACGTAACGGTGGATCACGTCGAGGGGCCAGTCTGAAACTCTGAAGTGGCAATAGTGGCATAGCATGATCGAGAAGCACGGTAATGTTTCGTGCTAAATGTACATGCATGCAACGCGAGACCGTCCTGTGTAACGTTACACGAGCCGGCTATGTATACAGTTGCGAATAACCGAAATTATCTCGACAATTGCTGAATCGGTCAAATTCTGAGGCTCAATTGATCGGGTTTGATATGGCATGACGCGACGATAGGACGAAAGGGGAAACTTGAACGCGTTCCTTTTGTTAACCTGAGCGACAGATGAATCTGCGGGGTTCGTGATTCTCGGCCATGATAAGTAACCCTCAAACACATGTGGCTTACGGAACTCACAGTCGTGATCGAAACACGCTCGTGGCGATTTAATCTCTCAGTGGCGTCGAGTCTTGCGTTCAAAGATTTCCTTACGATCTTCACAGCGGCGCATTGCTGAAGCGAGCCGATGCGTATTCATACAGATGTTTCCTTATCGGTTATCGTGTTACGGTAAATGTTGGAATTTATAGATAACTCTACTTGTATTTTTCCTCTCGGAATTGTTCTCACCGAAATTGGGTCACGTTATATAATTTCCGTTCCGACGTGAATAACTCAGGTAAATGTTTGTCTTGTGACAACTTCTTAGACTGTTTTGCATAAATCGTAAAGTTCTTAAAAATAGAGACAGAATGTACGATGAAGATGCCGATGGTGCGTGACACGAATTGGCAGGATCACTTATAGGTGCATAAAAATTCTCACCGTTCACGAGTGCGATCGTCGTTAGATCGTCGATTTCGTTGTGCAAGAAAATAAATTCGATTGATTTACGAGCCGGTGGAGAAGGGAAGTTACGATCGTTTTACGCGCGTGATCGCAATACGCTTCGCAACATTTGCGACCGTCATATTTGCCTACCGCAACAATGACTGTCACTACATGTCAAGTTTCTTTGGGACTCGTGGCATCCGGTTTACGCTAATATAAACTTGCTTTATGGAGGATTTGCCTCTATCGACGCGCGAGCGAGAACGAAATAACGCGTGTCTTGGAAAAATGTATATATACGTAAATTAGTTGAATATACGCGTCGCGTAGCGATATATTATTATAAAAGGATCGGCTATTATTAGCTAACCACACAGATGGCATGTACGATGATTCATGCGAATAAATGCGTCCTCGCGATAAACGCAGTCAAGCGGGAAGATGCGCTTTATTCTATGTCACAGCCGCATCAGTACCAAGCATACGGCCGGTTTCGCGCTTGCGATTGTAATCGCGGAAATTGTAACGTTCGTTACCTATACATATGCATATAATATGCAGATGAATGCGGCCACATTCAACAGCTCCGAGAGATGTAGAGGTAGCATTTTCGAATGTTAAGTCGATTATTCAGGAAGGATTTTACATATATGTATAACACAGCAATAACTGTCAAAATTTTAAACTAATTTTTCTGTTCGATATTTTTTCATATTGAAAATGCATATCAATTCAGACATTTTAATATCTGTTATTAATATGTTTATAACTTAATTAATATCTGTTTGTAACTGCATTCTCTTATCGTATTTCTTACTTTTTCTCACCGAGAAAACGTATTCCTTCGATTTTTCAGGTGAGCGGAAAGGAGGTGCTGAACGGTGGCGGCGGCGGCCATGCACCCCGGCCCGCCAATTAACCAGCCGAGCCGCCGCAGGCCTCGCCGTCGCCAGCATCCTCGCCATCAGCAGCTCCAACAAGAGCGCAACCTGCAGCGCGCCTTCCTGGTGCTGCTGCTACTGGCCAGCATCGGGGTCGCGGCTCGGGCCGAGCCGTCGGAATCACCGACGGCTCCGGCGGCTTGCCAGCAAGCGTTTCATAAAAATCTGTGGTCGGCCAGCAATGACACGGCTGTCCAACCGCGCAACTTGACAATCGGCTACCTTACAGCGATTAAGGGTGGCCTAAAGGACCGTCAGGGTCTTGCCATTTCCGGCGCTTTGACCATGGCCCTCGACGAGGTAAGATTTATTGTTTTAAACTAACAATAGAGAATGAAATATCTCTCTTATTTGTGGACGTATTTTCTATTGGAATCGGACATCGTAAATCGTGGGGTAAATTCTCCGGGGAATCCTCCGGGTCGACAGAGTTAATCGCGATGTCAACAATCGAATTTGTAGGGACGATCGACTACTCCCTCGAGATCTCATTTTCGTTCGGCGCAATCTCGACCTCGTTTCTTTTCCCGAGACACATCCCGCTACCTGCTCGCATTACACGCGGACAATTACCGCGAAACGTATGTGTACACGTAAGATGGAAACTAGTTATCTCGTCGAGATGCGGAACGTAACTCTTTTCTATCAAGCGTGTTTTCAAGACGCAAGATTGAAACGTCACACGTTGTCGATCATGCAAATAGCATCTCACGCTCTCTAACGCGCTCCATCAACCATCGACCCTTTAATCGGAGAAGGTCGTCCACGCGGAAACGCGATCGATAAGACGTGCATAAAATTATAGATTTCGGCGGGTCTTTTAAGGAAAGTCGAGACTTTGGTGGGATCTCGCATTATCTCGACAAAACAGCGTGAAGTCGGAAAAAATCGGATTGTGGGAACGACTCTACTTTGTTGGTTTAACTTACGTTTAATTAAATATATGCTCTTCGCAGATTAATGTTCTTGAAAACGAATCTTGATATCGCGAGTGACAGCAAGTGGCCTGATATAAGTAAGCATATCTATATATAATAAAGCCAGCGCATATATATACGTCCGCTCCACGGAGTCTCCCGATTCACGTGGTGCGCGGTGGAGGGAGGATATCGATCCTCAACTCTCTTGGGATCCATTGCGGGAAGCTACCTTGATTCTGCCGTAAGGCCAGATTGTTCGCTGCCCTTCCCCCCGCTCTCGCTCCAAAAGCCTCGATAATTCATTCCGGCGGATCTCCTTCCCCTCCGTCAGCCCCCCGTGCATCTACGGGGGACCGTGAGACCGTTTTCGCCCGGGCGTGCTGCACGATAAAGAGGAAGTAAAAAGAGAAAGGTACCTGGCTCCCGCTCGCCGCCGCCGTCGTCGTCGTTGCGAGGGCAAAAGTGACCGGGCGATTCCTCTTCGATGGCCGAACGAGCGCCAAACGGGCTGGATAGGGTCGGGGGAAACGCGCCGATGCCTCCGTAAGGGTTTAAAAATACAAGACCGGCGTTATTCGCCAGTCCGCCCACGCGTGGCGGCAGAAACGGCGCTCTCTCGCGAACCGTGAGAAGAATTCGCTCGCGAGGTTCGGGAACACGTACCCGCCGCCGCCACCTCCCTCATCCCGTTCTCCTCTTCCTTTCCCCTAGCCAGCCTCCTCACCGTTCTTTTTCTTTCTCAAACCTGCCTGCACTCTTGCAACCTGCGACCACATGTGAAGAATCGAGAGGTTTCGGGAGTGAGAAAGGGGATACGAGGTGAAGAACGGAGATAGAGAAATGTGAAGAGTTTATATATTTATATAAACAGCGCGTAACCGCTAACGTTTGTGAATCAAGCTTTATTCTAGTGAACAGAGGCCGACATTGCGCGATAGCGATGCTTACTCTTGCGTGGCATATCGGAGGATATAAATAAACGGCCGCAAAGCTCGACTCGTTTCCTGCACCTTTCGACTCGCTGAAGGCGCGGGCATACATCGTCGTGAAGAGAATCATTATGCGTTGCAACTGCACGCGGTGTATCGAACTGTCGAAAGAGAAATTTTGTCGCGGCCCGCAACAACAACGAATATCGTTCCAATAAGTTAATTTTTTTTCGTTTTTTAACTATATTTTTAATAATTTTTGCTAATTAAAGCATTTCTATCATTACTAGAGGATTATTTACAAAATGGTGGAAAGAAACGCCGAACAAATACGAGGAGTCAGAATAGATAAGTTAAATAAACACAAAAAATGCTCATTTTGTCCTATATGTCTAAATCGTATAAATCGTGCGATTCGTCGAAATGAGCTTATTGTCTTACCATGACTGGATGTATAAGTACATGAAAGTAAAGCGGCACGGCATTACGTTCGGGGATGAATATCCATGCACCGTTGATAGTAATAGGGGAGTATAAAATCGAGCAATACTAATCCGGCCTCCGGGGACGAAAAGGATCTAAAGCGGATTTTCCTCTCGAATTGTTCCCGTTTCGATTTTCGCGTCAAATGAAGTGAGCATCTGTTTCCTTGTGTCTTGTTTAATAAGGGAGACCCCTTATTTAAAACTTATAAACCGTGCGAATCATTGATCTTATCATGATTATGACGTGCGATTACTGGATGTAGAATACATGAAAGTAAAGCGGCGCGGCATTACGTTCGGGGATGAATATCGCGTCGACAGTAATAGGGGAGTATAATATAAAAGCGTCGAGCAATAATAATCGGGCCTCCGGGTGCGAGAAGAATCAAGTGGATAAATTTCCCGTCGAACTCTTCGCATTTCTCTATCTCCGTTTTTCTCCTCGTACCCCCTTTCTCACTCCCGAAACCTCTCGATTCTTCACATGTGGTTGCAGATTACAAAAGTATAGGTATATATATTATATACGATGACGATACGACGATCTATTTTACACATGACTATGACAGAACCTCGAATTCCGTTCATCCTTTTAAGAAATTAAAATGTCTCGTATACCGTTATATATAGCATCAAGCTATTCTTTTTATCCTGAATAAAACGCGAGACGCGTTCAGATCAAGCGTATGTAAGTCTTGCTTAATGCCCGGTTCGCTCACCGCGATCGCAAGTGCAATGCAGATGCAGGTGCAACAGCACACCGCCTTGCGTCCAGGCTTCGCCCGCGGACACGCGTGGTAAAAAAAAAACAACGGTAAATAAAAATCGTGGAATTTGCGCTCGCTGTACACACTCCCACGACGTAAACTAGCTCGACTCTCGGTTCGATATATTAGTAAATAGAACGAGCGTTAATTGGCTATCTCGCATAATCAAAACGAGGGAGCCTGAGCTGCGTCGTAATGGGCGCGGCTCTAAGCGCGCAAATCGCATTCATAATTATCCATTCGCGCGCGGCCAATACACACACACACACACACACACACACACACACACGCACGCATACGGCATGTGAATTGCACGCGCCTTCTCTATTAATAAATAATAAGGCGCGCCAGTGTACAACGTCGCTACTGTTGACCCGGCTTCCTTGATAAAAGAAGTCGATTTAACGAGCCGCGGATTAAGGAGGAACGCCAAACTTTCACCGCGCCGGGACGCGGGAGATGGAATGATGAAAATGACTGATGAAACGACGAAATCTGAGTAGAAACTCAATAATATTAGATTTCGTCGTTTTATTCTACCGCAAATGTATTCTCTCCGCGTATTTACGGATTTACGCGCGGGTATTATTCGAAATATGAAGAATATCAAAGTCAATGACGGGCAATGATAGTGCGGTATGACGATAAAATTTCTTTGATGATGAAGGATATTTAATATTTACACGTTTGGACTTTATTCATTTTATAAATGAGATACATCAACGCGACACGTGATAAGCGATAGCGTTGCCTGAGCGAGATTATGCAGTTTCAAATGTCATCATTACACTGTTTCAAAGAGGCGCCATATCTCTCCCGGATTATATGGATGCCTCGCACTCTCTATTTCGTAGCCGTCAGTAATCAAATTTGCCTCACACCCAATAATTATGTTTGCAGCGTGACACGTTTGCCCATCGTATCCGCGTTTGTTTACGAGTGTTGCGAGTGATACTCGCGGATCATTAACATTGACAATCGTAAACGCGCGAATGCGGATACAATCGACAAATCACGCTACACAAATCAGATTATTAACGTTTATAGATTATTGCGAATCAAGAACACGAGATATCCAACGAAAGGATTTCTTGTTATAACGCCTCTGTCGAACCGTTTTGAACGATGCTTTGACAATGCATTGAAACTGCACAAATTCACTCACGCAAAGCTATCGTTTATCGTGTATCGCGTTGATATATTTAATTTATAAAAGTGCATGAAGTATAATGGGTATAAAACTAAATTCAATACACTTTTATCGTTAACGGAATTTTTATCACGTTATACCGCAATAATCGTTTGATCAATGGGATTAAATTTTATTTTACCGACGTATCTACATATCTTATGCTAATTTATTCTTTTAAATGGTTCTATCGTTTATTTATTTCAATAATTTGTGTCACCTTGTTTGACGTGAGCTAATTGATTACTCTACATCGGTGATTCCTTTCGCAAACACTTAATTTTCGTGCGAATGACTATAATGAAGCCGTCAGATTCTTTTGCCTTATACGCGTTTAATGCTATCGTTCATCCTCTTTCTCTCTATTAAGAAATTTCCGCAAAGCACGCGTGTGCTTTAGAACGTGTAAATTTATCGTACAAGATAATTACAAGATATCGCGAACCTTCTTATACTGGCAACCTTCCCACTTTGGATATAGCGGTAATAAATTGTACAGGAAAAACCATGAATTTATAATGGCGTGTAATTTTATAATGCACCTTACGGAATGTCTAATCTCGATCTATGGTATTGATATAATTATTAGGTACGAATTCTATCGCGTAAATTATTACGTGCCATCTCGTTTACATCCTATAGGAATAACCCGGCCCGACAAATAGTATCAAATAAAAAAATAAAAATGTCAAACTGGTAACTTTCCAATTAATCCCTAGTAAAATCGTTTCGTATTTTTTAAAGATTTTAGATTTTTATAAATTTGAAAATATTTAAAAAGTTCTTAAAGATTTTTTCGCACTTGGAAAATGTTATCTACGTAAATTGCTTCACGATTTGTAAATCGATAATAAACAATCGTGACAGCGCATTCAGATTGTATCGTAAAACCGTACGAGAATTCGAGATGGCATTCGTGCAATCGGGGAGATATCTCTGCGTCTCCATCGTGAATGAGCCGAATACTTTCTTTCGTGAAATCGCGCAATTTGAACTCCGCTGACAGAGTTCCGTTAACATTAATCGGTAACTTTCATACGCCGTCATGTGTATCGCGATCTACCCGCGTCTACACACGTGCGGCACACTTCGATATTTGTTCCGTCGCGCGACTACAGTGGGAAAAGTTCGATACACAAATCTGGTCTCTAAACGCTCGTACACAATGCGACCGCGACGGCGGCCCGCAAAAGGATTTATTGCACGTGCGAACTTTTCAACGGCCGTGCCGCCATCGACGGTTATAATTTCAGCTCGAATTGCCAGCCATGTAAATTGGCTTCGCCGGGCGAAGTGACTCTATACTCGGAAAACTATTGTTCGCTGGAATTCATATTTGCATAACAACATCGCGAGCGCGAGCGCATGATGCGGACGCGAGCCGTATACGAATGGACAGCGGGAAATAAAACAAGAACGTTGTTAGCGATGTATGCATCGATGTAACCGCGATTATTACGGCGAACACGTGTGAATCAGAGGCGATTCTCACGCATTTATTGTAACGCAGATCGAACTTCATCATACATACGTATAAACTTCATCGGCTACAATAAATTTTGTCGCGTGAAAGTTATGCATAGTTTATTGCTTCAAAACAGTTTCATTATATGTATTATAAAGAGGCGTAGAATTTGCCTCAATTTCGAGATGCAATTTCCCAAATACATAAATATTTTATGAATATGTAAATATTTTATATACCACCCATATACCAAATTTTCCAATTTGGCCGGTTGATATTTTGACCTTTTGATTATTAATAAATATTTTCATATTAAATTTCTACATTGAGTGTTAATGTTAAATAAATTTGCTTCGCATTGCATTTCGTACGGTACATGGGTTACCGGTGACACACGATGGCACGGAACGTGTTAATTTCAAGAATCGTCTGTAAACATTTATATATAGAGTTAAACGCATTAGTTACGTATATGCATTCGTATATCATGATACAATAGTGTCTAATAACAAAATATTTGGGAAATTGCATCTCGAAATTGAGGCGAATTTTACGCCTCTTTATAATACATATAATAAAACTGTTTTGAAGCAATAAACTATGCATAACTTTGACGCGACAAAATTTATCGTAACCAATGAAGTTTATACGTATGATGACGTACATTACTTTTTTCCTCATAATAATAATTGTTTTGTAATTATTATGGAATATAATTTATATTTAACCCTAGAAAGGTAATGTGGGGTAATACGTTGCCCCACGCAAAATTCAAATTACGCCCCTGACTTAGGAAGGTTAGTTTTCATACTGAGACCCTAACCATAATTCAGTTTAGTCATCCGGCAGTCGACCTCCGTCATTCAGTGAGTGCGTTAGATCCGTGCAGCAGCTGTGACCGAAAAAGAAAATCGTTTGGGGTAACGTAATACCCCTACTTAACCGTTTACGTTCGAATTTTATCACAGTAAAATATATTTCAGATTTTTTGTGAAAATCGGTAACGAAAAATTATACACTTTATAGCACTCCCCGGAAAATTCTACCCCTGTTTCATATATAATTGTTTAAGATTCGGACAATTATTTCATTTTTGCTGTTTTTGCACAGCAACTGATTAAAACTTTGTAAAGTTTTTGTGGAGTTAATTTTACTGTTTCCATATACTTTTATAACTTTTGACTACCTTTCAAATAAATAATAAGCGACAGAATCTGTTTTACTTTCCATTTTTTGCGATTTTTCCCATCCGACAGTTTTTCGTCATTTCCTCTACTTCAGACGTTCAAAGAAATATGTTTTTTTTTTTTTAAGAAACGAAAAAGTCGCTTACATGCCCTTGAAGGTTGTCTATTCGTCAATTTTTGGTTGTTTGTATTGTTTTTCGAAATTTTTTTACTGTTTTTTTTTACTACCGCAAATTGATGACTACTATCGTCTTCCCTATTAAAGAACAAACAAAATTATCTTAATTAACATTAATTAACATTAATTAACATAATTAAAAAGTTTTCTAACAACAAATAGAAACATTATACACGCGGTACAAGTTTGGGGTAATTTAATACCCCGCTTGCCCTTTCACGTATGAGAAAATTCATATTACCTCTCTAGGGTTAACATAATGAATATACTATATGTGGGTTACTGATGATCCACGCGGCGTAGAAAAAAAATTAACATAAAATTAATAATTTTTCTATGTTCCCGGGCCTTAACTCTCAAATCTGTTCCAGATTAACAATGATCCAAACATTTTGCCAAATGTGAGACTGGTAATGCGATGGAGCGACACAAGAGGAGAAACTGTCGAAGCTACAAGAGCGATGATCGACATGATCTGCGACGGGGTCGTAGCCTTCTTCGGGCCGGAAGGTTCTTGTTACGTCGAGGCCATAGTTTCCGAGTCTCGCAACATACCGATGCTTAGTTACGTAAGTAATTTCAAGCTTTTATTAGTTTAACGAAACTCCTGCATGCTAACTCGATTCTTACGCGTATCAGCATCGTCCGTTAATTAAAAGCTATTGTAGATCCGATTATTAATAACGCGAAACCCGCGATATTAGTGACGCTGTATACAGGAGAGGGAGGAGCAAAATGAATATAGACAGTCGAAATCTCGTGGCGCATCATTATCGCGGTGATTTCATGCAGGCTCGAGGGGAGAAGATGCCGGCTGAAAACGATTTTCGCCAGCGTGAGAACGGCGGGGTTGTAGGGCTCTGACAAGGTGAAGTCGAAGGAGATGGTCGGGGCGCGAGAGAGCGGCGCGGCGCGGCGCGGCGGTGCCTAACGAAGGTGGTTAGGGGCGGCGAAAGTGCGCCCGACAAATTGAACACCCGCGGCGTGACAACATAATTATGGGCCGTGCACGCATGCATTGCACGCTGGTACGATATGCGTGCTACATCACGGCGGAGCAACGCGGTGATTCGCGCCGCGCGTGATACGATATTGTCGGTACGAAAGAGAAAGAGGGAGAAAGAGACAGAAATGACGTGTCCACTAGTCTATAAGTTTATGCGACAGCTCCACGAGACACAACGCCGTTACCGTAATCGTGTGAATAAACGATGTAATTTGCGGATTGTCATCGCTTCTCGCGGTACTGCGATTAACAGGTGGTTAGATTAGGTTGGTTGCACCGGCGTTCGCGTCGAGCTGTTTAAATATGCTCTACATACAGCTCATTCCATTTTTTTAAATTTTGTATATGTATTTAAAGTCCTGAATTTTATATTGATCACTTTATTTCCACTTCTGAAAAAATTTTCTATTTTTTATTTTTTTAATTTGAAGTAACAATTCCGCGTGTCAGTAATAACCAAGAAAGCTCGATAATTAAAAAATATCTTTTGGCATTCCATCCTCGGAAGCATAAGAATCTAGACGGTTGCGGCGGCAAAAGAGAAAAAATAATCCGCTGGAAGCGGAGACACGCGCGACAAACATCCGGACGAGGAAATCTATGCGTACCGGAGAAGAAGGTCTGCCGGGTCAAAAGAATCCGTACAAAAATTTCTGCAGCAGGCGACGAGTGAAACTAGGTGAAAGTAAACAGTGGTAGCTCCTTATGCCTATGCGCTCTCTTGTCCCTCACGTCCCCAAGAGCGGGCGTCCTTTACGTCGCGATTGGAGCCTCTTCTCGCGTGTCGTAATTCCCCCCAGGGGGGGCACCAACTAAAGAATTTCAAATAGAACCCCTCATATTGTAGTATATTGTAATAGCTAAGAATCCTTACTGAAGGAAGGACTATGAATACGGTTATTAATGTTTTGATACTGGAATAAAATTCACCCCATGCAGGGGCTCATTTCCCGATGAAAAAGCTATTTTCGAGGGAGGGATGGGCGAACATACAGTAGGTTTCACGTTATTAATAAAATCGCATCTACAATAGCTTTTACTTAACGGACGATGCTGATACGGCGGAGAGTTGTTTTATCAGACCATTGAATCTCCCTTTGATCATCGTCGTTTTGTTGTGGTAAATACGTATCTTGTATTGCTCTGTTCAGATCTTTTTTTTACGCGGGGAAATCTTTGACTACTGGGATCCCAGGCCTAAGCCCGGTTTGCCCAGTTTTACTTAAAGTATTTTTAAGTAAAAACAGATATTTATATTAAAACTTAATTTTTCTTAAAATCTTTTATGGATTATTCAGATTAAAATATAATAAATATATACAAAAATAATGTAAAACGTTTTAGATTAATTTATAACAATTATTTTATTACTTGTTATTTTTTTTCTAAGCATTTACACATACGAAATCTCGGAATTCCGGTTTATGTAAAATATTTTTCGAATAGTTCTGAGCTTAGCATTTTCTAAAGAGTTCCCGGCACTAGCAATGTTGTATGATTTTTTAAATAAATTAATATCGCTCAAAAAAGGAGTACGTACTAAAACTCGTATGAGACGTTGTCTGATTGACTATTACCGGTTAATTAAAATATAACACAAAGGTCCTAACGCTCGGAACTCTTTAGAAAATGCTCTTTAGAAAATTTTTTACATAAACCGGAACTTCGAGATTTCGGACGTTGTCTAATAAAAAAATTTTTAGATGAAAATCGGGAATTGGGAAGCATTAAGTAAGCAATAAAATAGTAGTGTAACCATCAAACTCACGAGTATCAGGATATCAGGGTCGAATGTCAGGGTGGAGGTCGATCCTCCGTCAGAGCAGGACGATCAATATAATGTTGCTGCGTTGGAGGGAATAGCGAGAATGGCAACCTCTAGCCTGACATACGGCCCTAATATTATATGCTGATACTCGCGAGTTTGATGGTATTGCTTACTTAATGCTTCCCAATCCCCGGACTTCCCAATTTCCTTCCCAATTCCCTTGATAATGCTTCCCAATTCCCTTGGAATGCTTCCCAATCCCCGGGCAATTTTCATCTGAAAATTTTCCTATTAGACGGCGTCTAATATGAATGGAGCGGGTCAACCCGCTAACGCAGCAGCACTATTAATCAAACAGAGTTCGATTACCTGATCTTTAACGTATATTTGATGTTTAACGCTCCAAAGGATTCGTCCACTTAATGCTTCCCCGAGGAGGGCAATATAAATGGAATAGAGATGGTAGGAGACCAAGATAAAATAATTAAGAAAGAGAAACCACACGTATACGCGCGCGCGCACAAAACAGAAAAGAAAGAAAATCTGCGGGTTTAAAATTTTAGATGGAAATCGCCTGGAAATTGGGAAGCATTAAGGTAGTAAGTATCCTTTGTGATAAAATGTGACCAAACTCACGAGCATCATAGCCATCATATAATATCAGGGGTAAATGACAGGGTGGAGGTGTTGAGCTTCATTCGATAATGTTGCTACATGAAAGTGAATGCATGAAAGTGAATCTATCTAACGCGCACGTTTTTTGTTTATACGTGAGGTATTTTTTCTCAGAGCTGTATCAGCGTCGGTGATATATGCGTGTGGAGAAACTAAGCGCCACTTAAAATCAACCGAGGTTGGCACAACATCTGTTCCAGCATCGCGCTCCGACGATCGTTAAATCTTCTTAATCGCTCGTCTCATTTAATAGTCCGCGTGCTGGACGACCAGCGACGATTCGTCGTTGGTCCCGCCACCGGTTCATTAGCTTCTCGCTCTCGTCTCGTAAGTCTGGCGCGACATTCTATTGCTTTTAGGCTTCTAAACCAAACTCCGTCCGTGCGTCCGACGAAGCGCGATTAGCGGTACGACGGCATTTGGCAATTTATCACAAATACTCCTAATTGCGCCCGGTCATTAAACAATCTTCGTTACTGTGAAGCGTCACGCATTATGACTTGAAAATCTTTTTCTTTTACAACCGTCAACGTCATAGTAACTTTATCCGGGTTTAGTTATTTGAATGCAACAGGTCAATTTAGTTTCAAAGGCAATAAAGAGCTTTTATAGCAGTAAATCTGTCAGCGATACGACGTCGTATCAATATGTAAACCGATTACGAGATCCATATAAACCTCTTTACAGAACGGATTTCTTTCGGCTGCAGAGTATACTCTATTGTCAGATGACAAAAAACGGTGTCGAAAAAGGAAATCAATTGCGTTCAAATTCACTGAAACATATACTAACTAGAACGTGCGCGCGCGCGCACGCTGCTATAGAAATTCACGGTAGGCGATGGATATTTGACTAACCATCGGTTTCGATCCGCTTACAACTGATAAATCTATATCAAAAATAAGATAATATGTATTTCAGATTCGAGTTTTATATGTTTCAAAGCTTCTTGTAAATAATAATTTTTGTTGAAATATTTGAAATTTCAAGCTCTGTGTAACGTAAATTATAAGTTTTTTAAAGAAAAACGTACTGGCGATCAGTGCTGTATAGCGTAATTGGTGAACGCATAGTAATAATTTTACGATGACATTTGCTTTTACCACTATAAAAAAAAAAACAATTTGTCGTAAAGTGTCTAGTTTTCGTGAGCTTTTTTTAACAGTAATTACAAATGACAAATATTTCGGTCTTTGATAGACCCTCTTCAGTGTCGGATAAATAAAATAAAATAAATTAGAAGTGTAGATAACAATAGTTTTGTCAAATGGGGATTCTTATTACATCTGATTCAGGTAGCCGGTCACCACCGACGTTTACTCTTATTTGACTTTATTTTATTAAATTGATTTTATATCTGGAGAGCTTAAGCGTTATTTATTGGATATATATATTATGTAGTTCAATTTCATGATTTTTAAAGGAATAAGTTTATTGCATAATTCATTTATGCTTTATAGTTTAGATTTTGTCCATATAAAGATATAGATACACAGGGATTATGGGAAGAAGGAAGGATACATGAGACGACTGCAGAAGAGAGGAAGGGAGGGGTTGTTGTAAATGAATATGGGGTAGTGGAAGAAAGGATGTAGAAAGGGAAAAGGATACATGAGACTGCAGGTGAGAAAAAAAGGGAGGGATTGTTGGAAATAATCATGCGATACAATAGCGGCGAGCGGGAAAAAGGGAGGGGGAGAGAGAGAGAGAGAGAGAGAGAGAGAGAGCGGCGAGCGGAATGAAGGTACAATGGGGTAGTGAACGAAAAGTTGGAGGAAGGGTACAGAGGGAACGAACGGATGAACAGACTCATGGTATTAGAAGCAGAGAGTGAAGAGAGAAAAGGATGAGAAGGGGCGAGAGAGAGAGAGAGGAGGAGGAGGAATAGAAATAAGCGTATTGTAAAGGGCTGCGAAGAGCGAAATAGGAAAGGATGCGATACGACGCGATGATGGCGAGCGGGAAAAAGGGAGAGGGAGTGCGGCGTGCCGCAGATGAAGATACATGAAAACAAAAGAGGAGAGTGATAGGAAGGTCAGGTTAAAAGATAGTGATTGTAAAAGGAGCGGGAGTTCTCTTGTACCCTGCAAAACGGACAAAATAAAAATATACACTTTTCT